GGTCACTTTGTGATGGGCTAAAAGTACTTCTAATCATGATCATTTGGGCTTAATGAATATATGTTGCTGTTATTTATTTTATATTGGGTCTAACCGATTTTTAATCCAAAGTATGATTACTAATATTGGCTTTCCGTTATAACTACGAGTTAAAAAAAATCACATTTTTGGTTTCAGGATTATCATTTTTTTTACCCATTTTATATCCTCAGTCATTAGAAATTATTAAATTAATCATATATAATTGCTAAATGTTTAATAACCAAGTGCGCATAAACTTACTCATGAAACTTACTCTAATTTTAAATGCAATTCAATTTATCAACATGTACGTTCACTAATTAATCTACATTTTTCATAATTAACTAAATAAACTTACAAATTAGCCAAAAGAAGTCACACTCCCGATCTCACACACTAGCAACACTACATTACTTCGCGCACAACGGCCCTAGTTTCCTAAAAGTTTTCACTAATTTAGTAATTTTATTTATTTATTTATTTATTTGAAAAATTGTCAATTATTCCTTCTGTCCTTATTTTTTTGTTTGGTCAACTTTACAAACTTTGCGCATAAATTCTCATTAATCTATAAGGCTATAAGAGATAATAGCCAAGTGGGGTCTTGTTGGATTCGTCGCATTATATATTTTTATATGTATATTTTTTTATACATATAGAATTTGAGTTACATATATTTTAAGACACGTCTTAAAGGTTGTAAAAACTCAAATGGAGCAAAAAAAAAAAAAAAAAAAAAAAAAAAGGACAGTGGGAGTATTACTTAAATAATGACCCATGTCAATTACAAATTACAAAATTACTACCCTTAAAACTGATAAATTATTACGATTGCTACCCCTAATACGGATTATTTAATTAACATGTACTCATATAGTGATATGACCACATTTAATCTTATGTATAATAAAGCGCAAACATTGGTCAAAGTGGTGCATAAGCGGAACACTTAGATAAGGGGAGGGAGTATCATGTTATTATTATTATTATTATTTATTTATTTATTTATTTATTTATTTATTTATTTATACACATATAAAGGATGTTTTTGGCTTAGGGGTCTGTTCACATTTACTGAATTGAGCTGAATTGAACTGATTGGAACTGAACTGAACTGAACTGAAATGAATATTTTATGAGAGAGGGAAATTAGGAGCTGAATTGAACGAAACTGAACTGAAATTAAGTAAATGTGAACAGACCTTTAGGCCCCGTTGTTAGAGCTGCACTGCTCTGCTCTGCTTAAATCGAATCTACTCTGCTCTGCTGTGCTCAAAAGAGATCTTCTCTACTCGGCTCTGTTCTGCTCTACTCGGCTCTACTCTGCTCTATTTTCAAATAATAATTAATAATAACAACAATAATAATTAATATTAAATAATAATAATTAATAAATTATATCATCAATACAATATTAATTATTATTATTGAATATTAATTATTATGGTTGTTATTAATAATTATAATACTTATTAATATTAAAAATAATTTTAATAAATATTAATATTAATAATAATTAATATTTATTAATCATAATAATAATTAATCATAATAATAATTATCAATAATAATATTTAATAATTCAAACTATTAAGAATCAATATTTAATAATATTATTAATTAATAATTTCTAATAATTATAACAATTCTTTCAAATAAATAAATAATAATAATAACAATTTCTTTTATAAACATTTGATGTTAGAATCACATTGTTTATGTGGGTATTGATTGTTAGTTCATTGAATTTAATTATTTTTCAAATCTTTCCATACATTTTAAGATTTTAAACAGAAAAGAGGTTGTTTTCAAGTAGTACCTTGTATATTATTATTATTTTTTGTAGTAGGAGTAGGAGCAGTAGTAGTAGGAGCAGTAGTAGTAGCAATAGTAGTAGTAGTACTAGTAGCAGTAGTAGGAGTAGCAGTAGTAGTAGTAGGAGGAGTAGCAGTAGCAGGAGCAGCAGCAGTAGTAAGAGCAGGAGTAGCAGCAGCAGCAGCGGCGCAGCAGTAGTAGCAGTAGCAACAGCAGCAGTAGCAGCAGTAGTAGTAGCAGTAGTAGTAGCAGCAGTAGTAGCAATAGTAGTAGCAGTAGCAGTAGCATAGTAGTAGTAGTATTTAACAGCATTAATAATAGTATTTAATCTACTCTGCTATCTTGAAATCTGCTCTGCTCTGCTCTTCTCAGCTCAGCTCGGCTCGGCTCTGCTATCCTGAAATCTGCTCTGCTGTGCTGAAATTTAATCTGTTTAGCTCTGCTGACCCCTGCCCTACTCTGCTCTGCCCTACCCAGAAGCTCAAAAGAACAGGGCCTTAGTCTTGAAAGGAATTTTCAAAATGTTAATTTTGTAGGATCTTTTACTTAAACTATATTGTACTCCCTCTATCACTTTATTTTTGCCCTATTTGACTTTGTGCGGTGTCCAAGATACATGTTAAAATGTTTATATCTTCATTTTCATATGCGTAAAAATTACTACCTCCGATTTTTATTAGTTGCAACTTTGGGGTATTATTTGTGAGAATTTTTTTCACCATATAATCCTGAGTTTTTTGTTTATTCACCATATACCCATGAAAATTCAAATTCACCATATACCCCTAAATTGTTATAATAATTCACTATATACCCCTAATAAAAATTAAGATAAGTGGAATTTAGTTAAATGTACCTCGAAATCACCTTAAATCTCCCCCCCCCCTCATCCCAAAATCACTCATCTCCTTTTTCCAGCTCCCGAAACCTGTCCAAATCTCTATAACTATATCCATATCGACCATATGATTGATTTTGAGGATAAGTAAAGGAAATTTAGGGTGGTTTTGGGGGTGGGAAAAAGAATGTGGGTGGTTTCGGGGGTTGGGGAATGTACTTAAGGTGGCTTCGGTTAATAATTAACTTTAATGATTGACCAAATTGACAATCATTAGTCATTAAGGGTATATGGTGTATTTTTGTGAAAACTCAAGGGCATATGATGAATTTAAAAAAGTTCAAGCGTATATGGTGAGTAAATTAAAAACTTTGGGGCATATGGTGAAAAAACCCGTAAAATATTCTAAAGTTGTAGCTAAAAAAATCGGAGGTAGTGTAAAAAGTTGATATTAATTAACTTTACAATGAGACGAACCAAACAAAATCCCACATGACTAAATTTCCTTCTATTGAACAACGGGAATTTGTGGTAAAAGTTTTTAAAGTTTGACTCACATTTTGGCAATGGAGCAAAAAACTAATGTATAAAGCTAAACTTTTAGCCAGGTGATGAGACACCGACACTTGGCGTTCCAATTTTTCGCCAAGTATCGCGCCACGTATGATAGAGTTATATAGAATTAAATTTGTAGGATAAAAAAGTTAGTTTAGAATTCTATTAAATTTTAAGATAAAATTTTCGATAAAATACCAATATTTCATATGTACAAATTGAATTATAATTTTATTCAAAAAATAATTAGATTTTAACGCTCATAAATTATCATATATTTTTTTTTGTATCATAATATTTTTTTGGAGAGAAGGAATTAGTTCAAAATGTACCACATCCATCATTTATAATATATTCTAATCAATTTAAATAATATACTTCACAATCTAATGTAATTTTATTACTGTGTGTAGACCTGTCAATTGGGTCGGGTCACGAGTCATTTCGGACATGGTCAAAAAATATTTTTCACCAATATTATTATTATTAGTCCTACTACATTACACATCAATTCTTAAGTAATTTTGTATCAATGATATGTTTTAAAATTTGACATATAGATTAAAAATTTATCTTAATATTCAATAAACAACCCGGGCATCGCACGGGCACAAAACTAGTATATATATATATATATATATATATATATATATATATATATATATAATCAAACATGTGCATTGAAACCAATAAAGGTAGAAAAAACAATTTTTGGACAACAATAGAATGAGTATTGTGTGGTTGTCATAATTAAAGTTGTCAAAAATTGGTCAAACCGACATGATACGAAACCTAGCTGAATAAACCTCAATTTAAATCTCGATTTGTAAGATACAATAATTTAGCATGATTTAAATGTGAAATAGATTCAATCTAACCCGACTTGATCGGACTTGATTCAAACAACCGAATTGACACTGACCAATCCGAATTGGACCCATTACAAATTCTTAAATGGACTTGGTTCACACTAATTTATTGTGGACCACTAACATTAGAGAAAGTATGGTTGTTTTATTAATAAAAAAAAGGGTCAATATAATTAAAAAAAAATATCACTAGCCTAAGTGGTTATTTTTGTAATGAAATATTTTATATACTAATCAATATAAATAATAAAGGCCACTATGTTAAAATTAGGTTAATAGTGTCGTATTTCAAGTTCACAATATTATTAAACGTTGTAGTAGTTTTAATAAAGGTTACTAGGTTAAAAATAAGGTTACTATATTAAAAATAATGGTCACTATATTCAATATAAAGTCAATTACGTACTTGCGTGTGTATAGAACTCGGGTCCACAATAAATAATATTATTGTGGACCAGATCCGCGCAATTCTTTTTGTTGGACCCATAGTCCCTTATTAGTTATTCAAAAAGTTTTACATACAACCGGTGTGCAGTAAAATACTGAACAACCGGTTTTTCGCACGTGTGAACAGTATTTTTTTTTTCCTTTTTCCAAAATAACTAACATCTTCTTCAGCAAGCTACAATGGAGGAGAGAGAAAACTCCAATTTTCCAGATTCAAAGCTCCTTCACCAAGCAACCATGGAGGAGAGAGAAATCTACAATTTTCGATCAACAATGCCGGAAACCTCCAAAGCTTCCAATTACGAAAACCTAATGCGCGAATTTCTGCAATTACAAAGAGAAAATCGACCACCATTAACGCAACATCCAGAGAAAACATGGAGTTTCGACCTCAATCAAACATTCAGAGAAGGTGAAGCAGAGAATTTCGTTGATGATTTCGATGAATTTAATGCTGATAACATTCAAAACTCAAAAGTTCCAGAAATTCAAATACAAGGTAATAATCTAAAAAAATACTAACCTATTGTTTGTTTTTGCTTAAAATTTTGATTTAATTTTCAATAATTAATGCAGATATTGAAAATCAAGGTGTTTCAAATACATTAGAAGATGAAGATCAAGTTATTCCGAACACACTAGATGAAGAAGGACAACCAGTAGATGAAGACGAAGGTAAAATTCTATAAATGTGACATATATTAAGGCAAAAGTTACATATATTATGGCAAAAGTTACATTGACTATATGTTTATTTATAAAAGCATTTATGCATGTCTCTTGGTACAAAAGTTACTAATATCATTACAAATGTTACCTTTATTAATACAGAAGTTACTTGTATTATATACCTCTGTACTAAATAACTTATTCTTTATGCATATGCTTAAGTGAATAACCCTATGCTCCCATGTTCTCATGCCTCTAGGTACTTGCTTGTGATTTTGTTCATGCTGTAATTGTGATTTTGGTTACAATTGTTACAAGAAAATGCTAAATATCTCTTATTCTACTAATGCACAGATACAAATCCAAAACCAATAGATACCACTGGTTTAGATATGGAAGGATCATTAGTTGGAGTGGAAAGAGACACTTATCAAGAAATTTATGACTTGTACAGTCTACATGCTTCTACAGTGGGATTTTCAATAAGAAAGCATACAACAAGGTATCGCTTACACACACGTATAGTCACAGAGAAGTACTATGTGTGTTCTGCGGAAGGAAAAAGACATACTGCTGCAAAGAAGACAAATATGGTTCTAATGGTTGATGAAGATAACAAGGATTTAAAACAAAGAAAACCACGACAAGTCTCCATTACAAGAACTAACTGCAAGGCAAGCCTAAGAGCAAAAATGAATGATGATGGAAAATTTAAGGTGGTGTCACATGTGTTACAGCATAATCATGAACTAACTAGAAAGCAGTGGCATTATTTGCATCGATCTGAGAGAGAAGTAACAATAGAAAAGGCAAAAAATTAAAACAATGAAATCTGCTGGACTTTCAACAATGGACACATATAATTACATGTGTACAGAAGCTAATGGAGAAGAAAACTTGGGGCATAGTGTTGTAGATCACCTCAATTTCTGCTCAAGACTAAGAATGGAACAAATAGAGGCTGGAGATGCTCAGACATTAGTGAATATTCTGATCGAAGAACAAAAAGAAGATCCTAACTTCTATTTTAGAGTGAAATTCGACAAAGAAGGTAGAATTTCCAACATTTTTTGGAGAGATGCAATGATGTTAGAGGATTACAAAATATACGGAGATGTTCTTGTATTTGATACAACATACAGAACAAATCGGTATAAACTTATATGTGCTCCTTTTGTTGGAATAGATAACCATTGGAAAAATTGTATGTTTGCATGTGCTTTCATAGGCAATGAAAAAACAGAGTCGTTTGTGTGGTTGCTTGAAACCTTTAAAAAATCTATGGAGAATAGAATTCCAACCTCCATATTCACTGACCAAGACCAAGCTATGGCTACTGCAATTGAGCAGGTACTTCTTTTTCTATTACAATATCATATTCACTGATTCCACTCTCATTTTAAGTCATTTTTGTGTTCATAACTTTTATGAATATAAGTATCACTTTTGTGAGTATAAATGTTACTTTTGTGAGTAAAAATATCACTGTTGTGAGAATAAGTGTTCAAGTTTAGTGACATATCACATTCTGAATGCAGGTATTGCCAGACACAAGGCATAGGCTATGCATATGGCACTTAGAACAAAATGCTATAACACGATTTGGAGCCCTTAAAAGGGATAATGAGTTCAAAAAAATATTCAACAAATGCTTGAAGGGATGTGTGACAGAAACAGAATTTGAAGAAAGATGGAAAGAAATGATACAAAAATTTGATTTGGTTAATCATGCATGGTACCAAAGGGTGTACAATCTAAAGGAAAAGTGGTGTCCAGCATTTAGTAAAGATTTCTTCTCGGCAGGAATTCTTTCATCACAAAGAAGTGAAAGTATGAACCATGCAGTAGGATTCAGAGCTAATAAATCAACAACACTGACAGAATTCTATAGAATCTTTGTAAGAACCATAAAAAGATGGAGAAGTGATGAGAAGTATAATGAGTTTACATGTAGCAAATCAATAGCCTTTACTTCATTGCCACTATCCGGAATGCTAAAGCATGCTGCTCAGGTAATTCTATATTCCTTTATTACATATATCTAAGAACTGAAAACAAACAATATAAGCAAATATAAAAATGATACATGCAAAGGAACATGACTGGTAGTAAGTTATTTCTCTAATGTACAGGTTTACACATTGTCTCTATTTAGAGACTTTGAAGAGGAATTTGGCTACTCAATGGCGACCACAGTACAAATTCTAGGGAGAACTGAAGAAAACATTATTCTTTATGAAGTATCGCTAGAAGAAAAGCCATGGTCTTCCCAACAGGTAAGTTACATACATGAGAGCCAAACTATATGGTGCACTTGCAAGAATTTCGAAGCTTCTAGTTGGCTATGCTATCACTGCCTCAGAATTTTACATCTACATTCTATTACAAGAATTCCAGAGAAGTACATTAGCAAAAGATGGACAAAGCTTGCAAAAACTGAAGTATGGAATAGAATGGAAAATAAGGATCCAAAACTCCCATATACACCATGGAGACATACAATGATGAGAAAATATTATAACTTAATCTTAAAGAGTCAAGAAAATGAAAAGGCAAGAGCATTCATGGAGGAAAACTTCAAAAACTGTATGAAAATGGTGGAAGACTTACTTGCGGTCGAAGCTTTTACAGAGGAGGTTGCTGCAAGTGATGACAATTCTAATGTGGCAGAGAGTGCTCAGAGTACCAATAATACTGCTTCTTCATCAACAAGTACAACCATACCCACTATATTAGACCCTAAGAGAGCTGTAACAAAGGGAAGAAGCAAGAGAGCAAAAGGAGCACTTGAAAAAGGGAAGAAATCAAAGCAAAAAGCATTACCAGATCCAAATTCAGAGTCTGGATCGAAGACACCTACTGTGCGACTTTTTTGAACTTGTAGTGAGTTTGGATGAAACACAATTGAATACTTTTTTGTAGTGATTTTATTTTTGTTTAATGCTACTATTGACTTTCATACAGAATTTTGAATTGTGATATGGAATTGCTTATGAATTATGAACATTTATATAATATTACACTGATACTTAAAAAAGTAATGCATATACTGGCAAAAGTGATGCATATACTGGCAAAAGTGATGAATTTACTAACAAAAGTGACACTAACACTTACAAAAGTGATGCATTTACAGAAAAGTAACACTAATACTCGCAAAAGTAACAATAATGCTCACAAAAGTGATGCATCTTCTCACAAGTGTTACTTTTTACTCACAAAAGTATTGCATATTCACAAAAGAAATATGTCACTCACAAAAGTGATATTTATATTCACAAAAGTGACAATAATTATCACAAAAGTGTCCGTTTTTAAAATTAATAACATGGTAATATATATGTTAAACTTCAAGTTTTCATTTAAATCAACTATATCTCTGTATGATGATATATGATACACTTATAAAATTATAATCAGAAATATAAATAAATAAAAATAAGAACAACAGATTACCAATATTTAATCATATATATATATATATATATATATATAAAATAAAATTTGTACAAACATTTTGAAAATATTAACACTAGTTTAAGTGTCGATATTTATCACTAGTTTCAACTTCCAAAAGTACTTAACTAATTACAACTTCCAAAAGTACTTAACTAATAACAACTTCCAAAATTAGCTAAGATTTAGAAGGAGTGTACTTCCGTGTAGCCTTTGTAGTTCGTTTTGATTTTGGAGCAGTGTCAACAGTAGGAGGAGCAGTTTCAGATTTCTTCTTTTTCTTCTCCGCTGCTGCAGCCTTCCTCCTTCCTTCAATTTCAGCAACATATGCAAGATCGCTCTTCTTCTCATTAAATTTTTCAACTTCTGCTAAGACATCAGATCTTGATTCGTTCATGTCAGACAACACGAGTTTTGCACAAATCTTAGCACGTAAAAATTTCCTCCCAGCAGCCTCACAACAAGAAAAGAAAAGGCGCATTAATATGTATAAAACATTAGAATAAACATAACAAATGAATTAATTCGGATCAGTTTCAAGATCACTCACTGTTCTAAGTTCATCTACAGAAAACGATGTATCACCAACAAAATGCTCCATATGACACATCATATACACACCACAGTCATTATTATCAACCTTACTCTTCCGCCACACTAAATCAGCAATTTTAAACTTGTAAAAAGGGACTTTTTCACTCTTTGGATGATTTCTTCGTGCAAGAATATCACCAAATTCAGAACACTGAAAAAAAAAACAGAATATTAAAAACAACAAAAAAATAAGATTAATATAGAAACATACTTTAAAATAGACAATAACATACCAGATAAAAAGTCAAATTTGAAAATATGTAATCATGTCATGACTCCAAATGATATTATCAACATAATGAACCAATTCATTGCCATGATCAATCACAAACATCACATAATGTTCATCAACAAGAATAGGAAAATAAACCTGAAAAAAATAGAACAAAAGTTAGAATAAAGCACATCCATCACAGAGTTAATATATATTAAAAATTAAGATATATACCAAGTCTGCACCAATAACATCACAACAAGAATTTTCATATGTAACCCACTCATCCCAAATTTCATGCAAATCCGAGACAGCAGAACTAGCAGAACTATCTTCGTTCCCCTCTGATACTTGCAAAAAAGCAAACTAAAAGGAAAAAATAAATAATTGAAAAGAGTAAGAAAACAAATAACTCAAAACAGAAAGTTGCTTACACTTTTCCTTGCACCAAAAAAGAATCTTTTAAGACCACAAGTATCATAAAAACATGATTCATTTAGATAAATGCAGTAGCAATCAACTACTGACCAACGAACCAAATTAGGATGCACCAAAGACACCATATCCTCTCTTGGAATGAGAAAATGCAATCCATAAGTAACAAGATTCTCACTGCAAGGTCAAACAATATTATTAATATCAAAACAAAAAGAAAAAGAAAAAAAAAAGGTTTCAAAAAATATGACAATTAAAAAAGAACTTACTTATTATTAAATAAGTGTTCCACCAGACAATAATCAAGAGCTTCTAAATATAATCGAGGTAATTTTTCACTAAAAGCACGAGAATTACTTTTCATAAATGGCGTAACAAACACTACACTCTGACCACCAATTTCACCACAGTCCAAAGAACACAAACTTTTATTCGTTCTTCTGACTGAACCACCTCTGCCACCACCATCTCCACCACCACCATCTCCACCACATCCACCATCTCCACCATCTTGTAGGGTAGACTTTGATGAAGTACTTGCATCAACTTTAAGTAACTCATCCACTGACTTCATTTTTATAAACTCATCAATTAAGCCATCAATAAGCTTATGATAATGCGGGTTAGATAAAAGCTGTTGTGTTTGAGACAACTCAATAGAATCAACATCCAAAGAAACAGAATGTTCAACAAAACGACTATGCACCAACCGTTGCAAAGAACTAAAACAATTGGAATTCACAGATGAAAACAGCTCCATGTTCCTTTTCATATAAAGAAACGCTTCATGCAAATCCTACACATTAACAAACAATTATATGAGACCAAGAACAAATGTTTTATTAAGAAAAAAAAAACATACATCAGTTGCATCACTTTTGATCTCAGAATCAGTTAATACTCCTTCAGGCAAATCGAAAGTCACACATCTTCTATCATCATCAATAGGAACCGCACAACCTTCTCCCTTACTTAAGTTGTTAACATTCAAATCAACACACTTAGCAGAAACTGGATAAGTCAATTCATTCAAAACCCCCTGACCAAATCCACCAGCCTTCAACTCCAAGGACACCCTGTTCCTCACTTTTTTATCTATCCAGTGTTGGATAAGAGGAATAGTGGAGTTCTCTACTACACCTTGGAAATTCAAACGATGAAAATACATAATCTTAAGCAACAACAAACATCCACTAATACTATCTTTAGCCTCAGAATTTTTGTAACTAACAACAGAATTCATCAACTTTCTCAAAACAAATGAACACCAATCAAGATTTTTAATCTGATCAACATCATCCACAGCATTAACTAACCTAAAATTAACAGTCCTATTAGCGGTAGGAACAAGCATACTACTAAGAGCATGCATAACAAATAACCTCTTAAATTCATCACCTCCATCCACCAACTCCTTGATCCTAGTTTCTAATCTAGCCAAAGGTATCAACTCCTTAACACCAACATCAAAAGAAGCTCTCCATTTATTTTTCAATGCACTATCATCTTGAGATTGACCTTTGTAACTACCCTTCATTTCAGGAACCTCACGACCTTCTACCTTAGGCAAACCAAAAACATCACACACATCATGCTTAGTCACAACAAACTCCTTACCATCAGCTACACAAAACATACAAGTATATCCATTAAAACTCTCAACAAGCCAAGGAAGTATACCTCCAACCATACTCTCCACACGTAAAGACAACAAACCACCAAATCCAACCTCTTCTACATCTTTTTTTTGAGTCGGAGAAAGCCCACTTATAACCTTAACTAATGAAGAAGGTCTACAACGACATGTAATTTTCCTATCAGGCCTGAAAAAACAAAAAAAAGATGCTTACCATTCAAAAATGATAATAACATACTTATATACTGAAATTTTAGTTATCATATAAAATTAAACATGAATTATGAACATTTATACAAATTTTTATACTTATTCTCACAAAAGTGACAATCATAATCACAAAAAATGATACTCATGAGAGTCATGACACTCATTACATGGATATAATATTCAAAAAAGTGATTACTATCAAAATTTTCACAAAATGATACTTGCACTCACAAAAGTGACATTGATAAATACAAAAGTGAAAGATATACTCACAAAAGTAACACTTAATATATTGACACAAAAATCACATAAAAACAGTCCTATTAATCAAAGTTACCTATACTCTTACAAAAGTCACAATTCCATTCACATAAGTATAGCAAATATACAATATTCTAAAACATAAAATCTTACTCGTCATCCTCTTTTTCTTGCCTCTTCCTTTTATTTCCCTTGGATGTACTTCCTTCACCTTTCAACATCTTTTTTCTTCCTGCATCCATTTTATTTACCGCTTTTTGAGCTCTACTATAACGAAAACCTTTGATAGATCCTACCAATTAATTTAAAAAAAAAAACATCACAATAGAAATTTTGACAAAATTTGACAAGATTGTACCAAGCAACACAAAAAGATAAACATATCCACCATGTTTGCCACACTAAAATCAAATGCAGCATTTAATTTATATATATTAAACTGTAAACGAAAATAGTAGAAAAATACCTAAAATTCATACACAAAATGCTTTCATCAATTTGATTGTACTACTATGAACATGCAATTTTTCATTTAAACATTTTTACAAACACCTAACAGGCAATTCTCAAAATAAACCTAATCTAAGCAAAAGCAACTGATTAAAACGCACAACTAAACAAACATAGCACAAATTGTACAAAAAAAAAATTGCGAAAATGAGAACAAACACTAACCTAGAGCAACATTATCATCACCAGAAACCTTCTTCTTCACCATTGCAAAAACTACAAAAATCCAAAACAACAAAACCCTAAAAATCGAAACACTTCAAAATTGAATAAAATGAAATAAAATTGAGAAAACAAACCTGAAATTAGCAACAATCAACTTCAAAGTGAAGAAATTAAAGATCGAAAAGAGAGAAATTCAAGTAGCAACGCCAAAAGCAAGAGACGAAGAGAACGAGAGGAGAGAGAAAAAAAACCAGAGAAAGAGAAACAGGAAAGAGAAGAAGAAAGAGAAAATAAGAAATTTTTTGGTTTTTTAAATTTACACGTGTGAGCCCAAATTGAGCAGCCCAATTTGCACTCGTTTGCTGTGATTTTCAGTAAGTTAGTGAAAACCCGCTTTTATTAAAAGTTTGTCTTAGTTATTACATGTCTTATCAAATTATGGATCAATCACACAATGGATAAACATGGAGCCATGGAGGTTAGAGTGCTGCTGAGAATTAAAAAACTGCAAACGTATAAAATATTTACACTTTCATGTCAATCCTACGTGTCATCTCTTCATGTTTACACTTTCATGTCTATCCAATTATCCATAAATATAAAATATTTTTCATGCTGGAATTAATTGGGTTTTTGCTATTTTGATTTATTCCAGCATGAAAAATAGCAAAAGAAAGGTGGAGAAAAATAGAATTGAAAAAATAAAATAATATTTCCTTCAAAAAAAAGAAAGAAATAAAAATAAAAAATAAAAACAAATTAACGCCCAAAAAAGGGCTAATCTCTCTCACTCCCAGCCACCACAATTCTTGTTTTTGCTTGTTTGATTTTGTCTGAAAATTTCTGGGAAATCCCAAATTCTTATCATCATAAGATATTCTCTCTCATATCTTCAACTTTATCTAGTAAGTACTTCTCTTTCTCTCTCCTTTAACACAGTAGATAAAAAAATTGATAATTTGTAATAATTTGTAATAATTTGCGTTCTTCAATTTGCTGTAATTAATAGTTGGATTTAAGCTATACCCTTTTGTTTTTGTTGAATTTCAGGTGTACCCATTTTGTTGATTTGTCAACAGAAGTTGGTTTTTGCAGTTCTAGAGCATTATTTATCGGTAAAAATGGAAGTTTTTTGTTTATGGATCCCAGTAGTCTGTTACATTGAGATTGAATTGCATTAATTTCTTCGACCATTGCTGGAATTAATTGGGTTTTTGCTATTTTGTTTGATTTTTGCTGGGAAGATCTCATTTCTTGTATTTGGATGTTGATGTTGAAAAGTATTTACTGATTGAAGTTCATTAATTTATTGATTTGTGAAGGGTTTGTAACTTGTGATTGTTGAATTTGTAATTTCTGAATTCTGGATTAATAGAGGGGATTAAAGATTTAGGGTTTTAGGGATGGTGTCTGGGAACGACCCTGTTGAATCATTACTTAATTCAATTCAAGTTGTTAAGGATGCTTTTTCGCCGCTAGAAGCGGGTTTTAGAAAGGCAACTAAGGAGTTTGAGTTAACTTGGTTGGGCAAGAATGGCAATCGAAATGCTGAACTTTTAGGGCAGTTGAATGGTTCTAGCAATGCTGGTGTTAGTAGTAAGAACAGTAAACTTCATTCATCTGTGTCAAAGAAGAAAAGTACCCCTTCCCATTGTAGTTCTAATGAGGATAAGAGAAAAGGACCATCGATAAAGCTACCGATAAAGAGTATATTGGGCATGTTTTCGCCAAATTGTGCCAATGCTGATCCTAAAGTCAATGTGTTAAAGGAAAAGCCAAAAGAAAGGGAGTGGGGAAAAAAGGACGGATCGTGCTTGAACTGTTTGCAGTTTGCTATGACATGGTCGACGTCTCTCAATGGTTTTGCACAGGCATTTCCCACGCCTTTTAAATTAGGAAAGAAACGGTGCTCAAAGACAAGTGATGAGGGAAAGGGTTCGTGTGTCCGTTCGTCAAAATCATCAGATTTATGTGACTTTAAGACAAATGAACCGAAAAAGGGTATGTTTGTTATGATGTTGCCAAGAGAGGAAACAAAGTGCAATGAAGGGAAGCATTTAAGCCTCGAGCTGGTGGTAGCTCTCATTTTTGATCAGATAACACAGAGTCTGCAAAAGCTTGATCATGCTGCTAAACAAAATGAGGAAAGGTTTTATGAATCGTCATCACCCCCACCTCAATTCCCCTCTCACTTGGATCACTGGAAGACAGTGACTAGTATCTTAGAGGGTAAGAGGGCAGATATGAATGTCTTTTTAGGAAATTTAAAGTTTGCAAGAGTAGGTGGAGCACCATCTACCCTTGTTGGAGTTACATCTCCAGTGAAAGAAGATGGGGATGATAGTGTGTCTACTACTAATAGTGAGGATTCAGGAGGCTTAACAGCTCAAAAACTAGCCAGTGGGCTGCTTAATATCCCTCTTTCCAATGTCGAGCGCTTGAAATCAACACTGTCAACCATTTCGATTTCAGAACTTATCGAGCTGGTGCCTCATCTTGGACGCTCTTCTAAAGACATTCCTGACAAGAAAAAGTTGTTTTCTGTGCAAGACTTCTTCAGGTACACTGAGGCTGAAGGTATGTTTAAATTATCTATTTACTGCTTCAATTATCAGCCACATGTTAAATCCTTTTGCTTTTCTTTTTTTTGTTGTTTTTTGTTTCCCCATCGGTGTACGAAGGGTTAAACTATAGTATGTGACAGTCATAGATGCATAGTTGCATATGAGCTCTTATTTTTCATGTTTGGATCTAGTACATACAAACCTGCACAAAAATCTTAGTTACCTCAATGAGAAAGGATGATGCTTAAGTTGGTCTTATTTACAAGTTTTGTTGCCTCGTTTGGTGATTTCCTCTCTTCGATGAGGGAAGGAGCAAATATGAAACTATGAAAGTACACTTAAGTGCTTTGGTATCACTTGGACAAGGTTATGGATCATGAAGATTGTGAAACTAGGTAAAGGCGATTTAATTAGTGTTATTACTGCTACTATTGTTTTTTTAGGTGTCAATGAATTGTCTGCCTAGGTAGTGGGCCTCTATTGGCATGTGGTGATTTTTTTTTTTTTGAATTTTGTGATCTTGAAGGGGCAGATCAGGGTTGTAATTTATATGAAGCATGGGGATTCCTCATTTGTTCCTATCCAATGATTTGGAGGAATTTCAAATTAGTTTTGTAGTTTTTCAAATCATCTAGTTCATATTCATCTATATGCCTAGATAACTCTAAATGAATACAGTGTTGTCGTTATTGATGTAATTTGAAAGCTATGATTACTATCAAAATTTTTTGCTGTCTTGGTAGATTGTGAGGTTTCTTAATGCTTTCTCAGTGTGAGGTCTGTTTAAGATATAATACTTGTAGAAGCTTCTTCTATGGTTTTTGAAGTCATGGAAGTATATTGTTTGTTAAGTGAGTGGAAATGGGCGTACATATTGTTGGTGGGACCATGATATACTTGTTCAATCTTGCTTGCTCAGTATCCCTTCTGCACCACTCATTGTAGTTTATAGAGGGTGGAAAATCATGAGGTTTGTATAAAGGGTGTGGAACCTATGGCAGATTGTTTGGTGAATTTGGATCTAATCTGTAGGCCTGTTGCTGTTTAGGCTCGAGGAATGAGATCTAGATATCAAGACTTTAGGAGATTGTGTCTGAATTCTTTGAAAACATCTCTGTAGCTCTGTGGGATTCCTTTTTGATTAAGAACTAGGGAGCTCACATAATTAATGGATGTCTAGTAGTCTTACTCGTTTGTAGACATTTCATATCATACATATTGGATGAGAATTTATTTTATGCCTTCTCCTCCAAACCTTATATAAGTTATAATGACTTTGTGAACTACTAAAAATGCTCGCTGATTTCTACTTACTAATCTTTTATTGAAATCAAAGGTTTTTGAAAGGGTAAAGGCTTATGAGGGGTTGGTGGAACTACGTCAGTTATAGACGTTCTCAATTTTAGTATAAAATTGCTGTTATTGATAGGCCAAGCAAATCTTTTCTCCAATAAGCATGTTGTGTATAGCTGGTGGAAAGACTATTTGAGGAAATGGTTAACTTCCAATAAGCATGTCATAGATTACCTGTACTTTATGTTGCAACTTGCAAGTTAACATCTTTCATGTATAAAAACGGCTATTTGAGGTGGTGGTGTAATGCACTGCATGTTAAACTTCCTCCGATTTTTGTAGCTGTACCATATGGGCTTTTTTCACTATTTATATTCACCATCTTTGATTATTTATATTAAGGGAAATATTGCCATGTGGGATTTTATTGAACTCGTCTCAATTTATATATTAACAATGTCAACTTTAAAAATATTTTTTTTACCTTATAGAGAAATATGCCAAGTCAATATGGTACAACTAAAAATAATAGAGGAAGTTCACAACATTATCTAGATATAAAAGGAGGAAAGTCCTTTGGTAGTAGGCATGTATACTTTAAATTTGGGGGTGTTGTGGACATGTGAAGAGAGCATTCGGCAGACTCTTCCCAGAGTAGAGTTTTTATTTTTTATTTTTTTTTTTTTTTGGGATGCCCTGTGTGGTAGGTCTGCCTTCTTGTTCTCTTTTGAGTTTCGCACTCTGGTGCCCTTTCCTGGTCGATCTATCTCAATTGTGTAATGCCAATGGTTAATTTTTATGTGTATGTCTTTGTTGGGCTCTAGTTTTCTTTGTTGTAATGTTCTTATTCTTCATTTGTGAAATTTTGTATTGATGTCCTAATTCTTAAAAAGAACAACTTAGAGAGTAAAAGGGTATAGAATGAAAGGAAGTATGGCCAGTATAAGAAAAAAGGAACAGTTATATGCCTGCTGCCTTACTCCATGTATCATGGTGGAGAGAGAGATATCATAAATTTAGACACTTGAAAAATACAGCCGAATTAGGAAAGTGTTACACTTGCACATAAAAAAACAAAAAAAAAAGGAGGGTGTATCTGTGTCGTCAGTATAGTAACATAAATATGTTGGAAATGTGTTCATTTTCTGGATCTTCTGGGTATGCAAATGAAGAAATCAACATGTTTTTGTAACTTTTTTCTTTCCTTTTTTTAAAGATTTAGTGTTGTGCCTTTGTGCATGTAATGCATACAAGTTAATTCAAGTCCACCAATGACCTTACAGTCTTGTTAGAAAGCAAAATACTAATATAGTTGTCAAAAGATAGTGACTGACATGGAAGAACAGTCCCTGTATTTCTATCACTCCTTAAGCATCAACACTCATGGTATATTTTTATACCACGGTGTAAAATCTCATCAAAAACCTGCAATTTTTTACTACAATAGTGGTATAAAACTATACCATTTGATGGTATATACCATCCCCTGGTAAACATTTGCTTTGGTCCCCGTGAAACATGAACCAACCAGGTCTGGTTATCATGTATCTTTTATTTATTTATTTTTTTTCAATTGCATTTTAAGAAAAAATTATAAAGTAAAAAAAATTATGAAAAAATTACCATTGTTCATAATTTTTCAAGGCCTACACATAGACACCCATATTGATATAGTTTTATATACTTTTTCGAATTTGCTTTTTACTACCTAAATTGCTTATTTTATTTAATTAACTTTACAAACATTAATTAGTTATTTCTAATAATAAAATGAAATATAATTGTAATTAAATTAAGTGTATTACTAATACAAATAGGAGAGAGAAAGTGTGGTGGTAAACTTTTTTTTATACCATGAGTTAGATGAATTTTGGAGAAAGTATATTGTATTGTGGTATAGATGATGTGGAGGAGTGAGAAAGTGGTAGAGAGAGAGAGGGATGGTATAAATTTTTATACCATGAGTGATGATGGTCTTAGTCTCCACATAAGATCAAGTGATGCATGTTTATATTTCAGGCATTGTTTTAGTCAGCAAGGTATGTAGAAGTCAGCAAAGTATATGTATACTTAGGAGTAATAACTATTGTGAGTGTATCATTTCTTCTATTATAATGCGGCTCTGTCTACCCTTTTATGTGCAAATATGTAATATAATTGAATAACTAAACAATAATTATGCCTCTTCTGGTTATTGTTGCTTATATTACACAACTTCATTTGTTTTATGTGTTTTATACAGAGTCCTTATTTGCATTTCCTACCATAATAGAGCAGCTATTCTTTTTTTTTTTTTTTTTTTTTTTTTTTTTTTTTTTTTTTTTTTTTTTTTTGGGGTGGGGGTGGGGGGGGGGGGGGTTGTAATTGTAAGCTAAATTTCATGAACTTTTTACAGGAAGGAGATTTTTTGAGGAGTTGGACAGGGATGGGGATGGCCAGGTAAACCTAGAAGATCTTGAGATAGCAATGAGGAAAAGAAAACTACCACGCAGATATGCGAGAGAATTTCTGCGACGTGCTAGAAGTCACTTATTTGCAAAATCTTTTGGCTGGAAGCAGTTTTCGACGTTGATGGAACAGAGGGAAGCAACTATTCTTCGTGCTTATACCTCTTTATGCCTGAGCAAGTCTGGCACACTTCAGAAAAGTGAAATTTTAGCATCTTTAAATAATGCTGGGCTTCCTGCAAATGAGGATAATGCAGATGCTATGATGAGATTTTTGAATGCAGACACAGGAGGGTCCATATCTTATGGTCATTTTCGCAATTTTATGATGTTGCTACCTTCTGATCGTTTGCAAGATGATCCACGGTGAGAGAGCCTTTCATTATTGTAGTTACTTGTTGCATATGGAGATCTGATTTGGTTATTTTTTTTAGCTGTTCATAAATAACTATAATGGAAGCATGGATATGCTGATACCTTATGTGATTTTTCTTTACGATAGATGTGATCTATTGGCTGTAACTCTGTAAGAGACTTTATGTGGCCATCTACATTTTTGTCCCTTATTTATTTACTACCTCCGTTTGTTTAGATGCATCACTTTCTATAATTGGAAATTTCAATTTAGATACATCACTTTCTATAATTGGAAGTTTCAATTTAGATGCATCACTTTCCTTTTTACCTATTAAATTCTCTTTATATTTCTCAGGTCACACGGGCCCTTTTTACTCTCTCTCTCTCTCTCTCTCTACTCTAACAATTGTCTAGGATTCCGTAGCTTCAAAAGTGGGGTGTGTGTGTGTGTGTGGGGGGGGGGGGGGTTGCGTGTGCGCGTGTGTGTGTATGTTGGGGAGCTGATTAAAAGTTGGTTTGATATTCTGCTATTTCAAACAGGTTAGGTTTAAGACTTTTTGCTGATCGATTTCTTTGGTTGAGTGTTTTTTGGGATTTCCCACTTGAAGTTAGTAGAGTCCATGAATTACCCTAGCCAATTTTTGATTTTTTTTTTTTTCCAAAAATTATGTGTAATTGAGTTGGAGAAACTCATTATGTTCTTCGTGTGTGCTATGCAGGAATGTTTGGTTTGAAGCTGCAACTGTAGTTCCTGTTGCACCACCTGTGGAAATCCCTACTGGTAGTGTTTTACGATCTGCTTTAGCGGGTGGCCTTGCCTCTGGGCTCTCAACATCCTTATTACATCCAGTTGACACCATAAAGGCAATTATCCATATTTGAACTTTGAATTGTTGTCTTCTCTCTCTTTCCTTTAGTTTGCCTGCTCGGCTGCTCCTAACTAGTCATAATTTTTTGTAACCTAAAGATGGGGGAAAAAAATTAGTTTTACATTTTTTAGAAATTTTGTCTTTGCTGAACTCACTGTGTCTAACAATGTTTTATTGGTTTCAGACTCGTGTGCAAACATCATCTTTCTCTTTTCCCGAAGTTATATCAAGAGTTCCAGAAATTGGAGTTCGAGGCTTATACCGGGGTTCCATCCCAGCAATTCTTGGGCAGTTTACTAGGTTACTACTGCTTGCTTGTCAGTTGTCACCCTTATCCCTTCCATTTATTTGCTACATCCTCTGATTTTACTTCTTGTATTGCAGCCATGGACTAAGAACTGGAACGTTTGAAGCTACTAAGCTTGTGTTAATAAATGTCGCTCCAAATCTGCCTGAACTGCAGGTGCTAATGTTATCCTAGGCATCACATGCTGCACAATATAGACTATTTTTTTTTTTCTTCTAACAACCACCATATACAGTTGGAGGCTAAACTTAACTCTAATATTTCCAAGTAAACAGTTGTCATGCTATGTTTTGTTATTGAAGTGTGCTTATCATGGATATAGAATTGATATATTTTCTGTTGATTTGTGTATATATATACATTTTCTTTGAATGACAGAATTGAGTCGTAGAGTGTTTATTGGTAATTGTGGTATTACCTCAGTCACCAGGTACCTTTTGTGTATATTTTAACTTTACAACCTGTAACCAGTGTTTGAGTCTAACCATGTGAGGATAAGAGACAAACAACCTTATGGAGTTATGGACAACCACTTTTTTTTTTGGTTGCATGAGAGGCATCTTAGCAATAAAAGTCTTTAAATTTAGTATTTGGATGCTACAAATCTTGGACCGTGAAAGAAGGACAATAGAGACTCTTGAGTTATCATGGTCCAGTCCACCACTTCCAAGAAAAACATGACAAACATTCCTCTCGTTCACGCACTTCAACATCTTTTTGTGTATGATTATTTTCCTTTGTGATTTGTTGGAAGGTTGGTCTTTTTCCCCTCCTTGACTGCATATCATGCATCAATGATGCATAATTTTTGGACTTACTTATCTCATTTGTATAATTAACTCTATTCTATTCTCAATTCCAAGATCTCTAACTTACACATTCATGACTTATGACCTCTCCTTCACACAGTCCAACTTTGTGGTAAACTTGAATTGTATCCAACTTCCATTATGTTCCTAAGTGTCATTTTACTGGGAGACATTGAATTATTGATGATGCATGATTTGTTTTTTACAAGGGAAATTTTGGGAGAATTATGGGTGAATTTGGAGTTTTGTTGAGGAGCATAGTCGTTCAAATGAAGGGGAGGAAAAAAAAGTGGAGGCCAAGGTTTGAAAAACAAAGAAACTGGCTGTTTTGTGGGCCCCCGGGTCGGAAATTTGGCCGGAATCAGAGAAAGAGTGGTGATGTCTAACCTTTTATTTTTTTATTTTATATGTTAGGATTATTTTCTTAATATTGAAAAAAGGGGTGGTCAGTTCTAAATAGTGTGTTTTGAAGGGGTGTTATTTACCAAAACTTCCCCAAAAAAAAAAAAAAAAAAAAAAAAAAATCAGGGGAAGCATCTGACAATGAAAATGGGGCATTGATGTTGGAAACATCTGTTATTTAGGATTAAGGGTTCCAGCTTGTGGTCCCTTTTACCTATTCACAGCTCTTGGTTCTGCTGTTTGTGACTTAATATTCTTTCTAATTGCAAGACTGCAAGTATGCATATTATCCAATTGTAGCCTATGTCTTGGATTGATGTCACATGCCACAAAACAGTACTTGCAAGAAAAATGTCAGCAAGTAGCCTTTCAGCAATACATCATCACAAAATTTAGAAATCTTCTTTCGGATGGTTTCTGACCTATCTTATGTCCCCTTGTTCAGATCCAATCATTAGCATCATTCTGTAGCACAATCCTCGGCACTGCAACTAGAATACCATGTGAGGTACTGAAGCAGCGTTTACAGGCTGGGCTTTTTAACAATGTTGGGGAGGCCATTGTGGGTACTTGGCAACAGGATGGTCTCAAGGGATTTTTTCGTGGGACAGGTGTAACCCTTTGCCGAGAGGTTCCGCTATATGTAGCTGGCATGGGGCTATATGCAGAGTCCAAAAAGGTATCTACCCTCTTCTATAAGCAATTAAAATATTATATATCTATATGAAATGCTAAGCATTCACAATTGTTAATGGGCATCTTATGGGTAGTACATACTAATATTATATGTGCACAGCTGAAAAGATTTAGAGAACTTTTTAAATCTCATTGGATAATGTTGTGACAAAGCTTACCTGAACAGATCACAAACTATATGATGATAAATCCGTGTTGCATATGGACTTTTCACACTGATCACTCAGTATTTGGTCATATTCAGAATTTACTCTTATATATTTCTGTTATATCTTATCAAATGCTGAATTGTTTCTGTTACTCAATAGCTTGCTCAGCATGTCCTGGGTCGGGAATTAGAGGCATGGGAGACGATCACAGTCGGGGCACTATCTGGAGGGATTGCTGCTGTTGTCACAACACCATTTGATGTGCTAAAGACTAGAATGATGACGGCGCCTCATGGCCTACCAGTATCAACTTCAATGATTGCATTTTCTATTCTTCGCCATGAAGGCCCCCTTGGATTCTTTAAAGGAGCACTACCAAGGTTTTTCTGGGTTGCTCCCCTAGGTGCAATGAATTTCGCAGGTTATGAGCTTGCAAAGAATGCCATGATTAAAAGTGAAGAAACATCATCGACAACAGTGGATGAAATTCCACAGAAGTAGCTAACAAAGTAACGTTCTACTTAAAACAACACTGGACCGCCTTCCTTTTGTTGTTAAGCTGGTTCTATTTAGTACAGCTGCAGGCTCTTTTGTTTTCCTATAGAGATAGCATGTAATTGCTGCTGGAAAAATTTTGAGGTTTTTTTTCCTGTCCGAAAATGGCAGCATGTGTTTTAGATTTAATGTGGCAGATCTTTGTTTGCCTGATGTTCATATTTGTAGCTTTTGGTTGTTTAGTTACAAACAAAATGCACATATGTTTTTGTTATTTTACGCGGTCTAGTTCATTTGGACACGTTTGTACTGTAATGTTACTACTGTATTCGAGTAGTGATTCATACAGACCAAATTTGATAAAATATGGTGCAGATCAAAAGCCAAAAGATATGTTCATTAAAAAGTTTCTTGATCTTGAAACGTATAGGCCATCTTAATCCTATTCAGTTCTCTCTTAAACTTCATAGTCTTTTTTTACATCTATTATGGAGGTTCACCTGAAAGCACATTTGTTTTGTTAGAAATGTCTGCTTGTATTTCCATTGCGGAGTTATAGTCTTAGTAATTTCCTGATCGTTAAGAGCAGCATCATTAAATTAAACAAGTGCTGCTCACTGCTTGGATTGTGCTAGAATGAATTTCCCTTAATCTGGCATTAAGATGAATTAGTTAAGGATGAAATCTTCTGGGTCCTGATGAACAAGTCATACTATAATCACGGCGGAGTTCATCTTTCTAGGTTGAGCCAGGGTCCATACCAACAATGAACAAAATCAGAATCCGAAAGGGTAGAAAGTCTTGGAAGCTCACCGGTCATTTATTATACAGTCTAGTTCGAGCTTGATTGTCACAGGCTTCCACAATAGACTGTCGCCTCTGTCGGTACTTTGCTCCTAAGTCTTTAGTCTGTCCTTGCTTAGACAAATAGACCTTAGTTTCAAGGCAGTGAAACTTCATTAGTATTAAATGGTTTTGCTCCATTAAATAACTTGCTAAGATCCTCAAGTTTTGCCACATTGTAATGTCAATGTAACATTACATGCTAATTCCAAACAATTTATGCTCTTTCCCCTAGTTGCTGCTTTTGCCTATTTGTCAGCCTCTGTCGTTGCTTCATCCCTTAGGTATTTATAAAATGGTAACAATATGCAAGGTGAATAGTATGTTGAGATTATTCCAGTAAAATTGTATGTTTTGCGGACTTACTCTAAGATCTTTTCCCTATGCTAAGGTGGCCTTGGAGTCTGACTTGATGACAATGGGGTTTTTAAGGAAATTTTAACTTTTACCACCTAAAAATAACCACCATACTATAAATAAAAAGTTTTATTTTACCAACACATAAAAATTCAAGTGGGTTTTTATCATTGATCACTCTCAAGTCCCGAACTAACGGATTCCGTGCATGAATTAGTTAGTGACTAGGCCTACTATGTACATGTGTCACCATATATTGAGTAAAATTTTTAAAAACTTTTTTATTTAAAAAAAAAAAAAAAAAAAAAGAATATAAACAAAACAACCCAGCCACCAACTAGCAACACCTCCACGCTGGACCGACTCCCAGCAACCCAAAACAAAAGTTGGGATTAGATGCAATGGCTTACAAAAACATTCTAACTCCACTTGAGAACTAATCAATCCTTTAAACTATAATTTAATATGAAAAACATTATATTACGGTTGCTTTTATATGATGATATAACATTTAAATTTCTTTTTTTTTTTGTTGACAAAAGTGACTAAACCGAAATTACATCAAGAAACTAATTAGATTACTTCGACACCTACCCGCAATATTATGCGCCATAGATAGTTATTTAATGGAGCAAAACCATTTAATATCATTCAATTTAGTTTACGTTATATATGCTAGAATTGAATTTTGCAACAACCAAAGTAATGAAACCTAATTGATTGATAACATTTAATCTGTTGTGTTCAAGACTCACTACTAACACTAGTAGGATAGCTTGTAGAATAAGACAAACAATTAGTAGTGTGTTGAGTAAGCCAAGTGTTGACTTGATTGCTTTTGTAGTAGTGGGCTTTGTACACTTTGTAGTTGGCTTGTAGAATAAGCCAAGTTTGGTAGTGTGTTATATAAGTTTTAGCATACTACTTGTATAAATAGTACAAGTAGGAGTGGGAGAATCATATACTTACTCTAAGGTTTTGAGTGAAAACATAAGAGAGTGAGTAGTTGTTAGTAGCTTGTAAGTGCAAATACTAGAGAGCTAGTGAGCTCATTAAGAGTGTTTGTAATTGTGGTTTTGTAACTCAAATTCAATAGTGATATTGTCTTTGAGAAGGGTCATAAAGTTACCCATAAATTGCTTGTGTTGTTTTTATTGTTCTTTGGCATTGTTGTTTATTATTGCTTGTTTTTGGTCCCGAATTCCTAACAAATTGGTATCAGAGCCAGAGGTCGTTTCGGGGGCGATTTGAAGGTCAAAGACACATTCTTTGAGGTAGAGAAGGTGTAGGAAAGTTGTGGTAAACTTAGGTATTGAAAAATGGGTGATTTGTCAAAGTTTTCAATTCCTTTGTTTGATGGAAAGATGAATTTTCAAGTGTGGAAAAGTTCGGTTGAAGACTTGTTGGTGCAACAAGGTCTTGATGATGCTCTTGAAGAAGACAAGCTGTTGACTCGAATGAACAATACAAGAGGGGGGTGAATTGTATTGTTGAGGAACTAGGGTAATTTTTGCGGAATTCTTAAAGAAACTTAAACAAAAACTTTAAAGTGCAAGAGAGATTTTACGTGGAAAACTTCTTGCCCTAATCAAGAAGAAAAACCACGACCACAAGGGATTTTAATCACAACTCTTAATAATAATAGGGCAAACAACCTATTACAAATTAAGACTTCTAAACTCAAGTTCCTCTACGAACTTAAGTTCCCCCTCAACTGATCCCTCAATCAGTTGAGCTCTCGAATCTCTCTCTTTCTCCTTGCTTCACTCAAAGCAATTACACACTCTAGAGTTTACCCAAACTCTACCCCAATACAACTCAAGATAAAACTTCTAAGATGCTAAGTACAAAGACACTCAAGGACTTAAGTGGATTTTTGACTCTTTTAGAAAAGCTAAGAATCGTAATGCTCAAGTGTATTTTTCAAAACTGAAAACTAATCCTATTTATACAGGAGGAAAGCAGTTGAAAACCTTACGTTTTCCTTAACTCCCACTACACCACAACTTCCATGAAATAAGGAAGTGCAGTTTGTGGGTGCTTGGGCAGCAAGCTGAAGCACACAAAGGAAGTGGTTCCTTTATTTTCTCAACCTCCTTTACCAAGTAAAAGCCATTTTAAAAATAGTTTTACCAAGTCAGATTTTCCAAAATGTTAGGATAAAATCAGAACAGAAAATCTTTTAATAAATAAGATATTTTTACTTAAAAGATAATTTTCCGAAATAAAATTAAATCTTGTTAAAGAAAGGAAAATAAAATCTTTATAAACTGAAATTAAATCCACTTAAATCCTATCAATTAACAATGTACTTAACATATATACAAGAAGCCTAAAATAAATAATAAAGATACAATAGACTCCATGGAACACAGTGAAGCTTCGACTCTGAAGCTTCAGTTCCTTACTAAAGGAACTTGGCTTCTGATTGTCTTCTATGCTCATCCACAGCTTATCCTTAGACCTTGTTCCATGCTCCGTTCTGACTCTAGAACTTTGTTGCATATAAGAACCTGTCAAGTACATCAAAGCTAATAGACAAAAGGTAAAGCCCTTATGGGTTTGCTTAGGTTCCTTGAGTCATCATCAAAACTTAAGATCAACACAAGCCCACTAACATGGAGGATGCTAAGTGGGCATCAAAGAAGAAGAAGGCAGTGAGTACAATCCGACTTGCGATTGCGCCGGAAATCAAGTACAACTACCTTAGTGAGACGAATCCTAAGGCGTTGTTGGAGAAGCTATAAGCGGTGTATGCTTCGAAGTCTTTGACAAACAAGCTTTGTCTAAGGCGGGAGTTGTATCAACTCATAAAGGAGGAGGATACAAGTATGCAAGATCACATTAATATGTTTAGTCAATTAGTGTGTCAATTGTTGAATGCCGATGAGAAGATTTCGGATAAAGAGCAAGCTTTGTTGTTGTTAGCATCTCTTCCTAAAAAGTATAGAGCAATTGTTCAAACTATGCTAGTTGGAAGAAGTGAGATTACTCTTGATCAAGCTTTTGCGGTGTTAAGAGAAAATGAGAGATTGATGACCAAAATTGATGGTGAGAAGAAGTCATCGGAGTTTGGGCTAGTTGCGGAAGGCTCTTATCAGGGTAGAGCTTAAGAGAGGAACAAGGATGGCCAACGAGGAAGGTCTAAATCTCAACCAAGGAAAGACTATAGCTAATGACTTGGAGTGTTACTATTGTCACAAGAAGCGCCACACTCAATTTTCTTGCAAGGCCATGAAGGAAGACCTCAAGAAATTGAAATCATTGAAGATGAAGGAGACCGAGAAGGAGGGGAGGCATCTTTTGCTCATAGCGATGGGGAAGATGATGATGATGATGAACAAATCTTCTTGCTAGAAGAAGAGGGGAGTTGTAATGAAGGCAAATGGATCATGGATACGGGTTGCTCATACCATGTATGCCATGACAAAAAGAAGTTCAAGAAGTTTGAAGCTTGTGAGGATGTTTTGGTGCTTCCAAATGAAGAGAAGGTGCAAGTTGAAGGCATTGGAGAGGTGGAGGTTGTGACACATGATGGTTTCAAAAGAAATCTTGGAGGTGTGAGGTATGCTCCTAAGTTTGGTAAGAACTTGATCTTACTTGGTAGGCTTGAGGCAAGAGGTTTTTCCATCAAAGAAATTGATGGACAAATGAAGATTGGTAGAGGAAATTTAGTGGTCATGAGAGGATCACGAAATAGAAGGAACTTGTATGAATTGCAAGAGTGGAATCGGAAGGCTATATCCAACCATGAAGTTGAAGTGAAGAAGTCATCAAAGAGGGTGACATTCATGAAAGGTTCATCATAGAGAAAAGTGGTTTTGGTAGTGGTCTTGAGGGGGAGATTTGTTGTGTTCAAGACTCACTACAAACACTAGTAGGATAGCTTGTAGAATAAGACAAGCAATAATAGTATGTTGAGTAAGCCAAGTGTTGACTTGGTTGCTTTTGTAGTAGTGTGCTTTGTACACTTTGTAGTTGGCTTGTAGAATAAGCCAAGTTTGGTAGTGTGTTATATAAGTTTTAGCATAATAGTATAAATAGCACAAGTAGGAGTTGGAGAATCATATACTTACTCTAAGGTTTTGAGTGAAAACATAAGAAAGTGAGTAGTTGTTAGTAGCTTGTGAGTGCAAATACTAGAGAGCTTGTGAGCTCATTAAGAGTGTTTGTAATTGTGGTTTTGTAGCTCAAATACAATAGTAAGATTGTTTTGAGAAGGG